AGTGCAATGGCGCGATCTCGGCTCACCGCAACCTCCGCCTCCTGGGTTCAGGCAATTCTCCTGCCTCAGCGTCCTGAGTAGCTGGGATTACAGGCACGTGCCACCATGCCCAGCTAATTTTTTTGTATTTTTAGTAGAGACGGGGTTTCACCATGTTGACCAGGATGGTCTCGATCTCTCGACCTCGTGATCCACCCGCCTCGGCCTCCCAAAGTGCTGGGATTACAGGCTTGAGCCACCGCGCCCGGCCCCCTCCGTGTTTTTATTGGAGTCTGAGAACCCTGTAAGATTTATTGCAGAATACTATGGGGGGCGCTTAAGGGAGGAGTATGTAAGTTGAATTTTACTAGGAGAGATCCTCTTAAAATGTGTATGCACTCCTGCCTTAGAACTGCAAAGGCCAGGTGTGGTGGCTCACGCCTATAATCCCAGCACTTTGGGCGGACAAGGTGGGCAGATCACCTGAGGCCAGGAGTTGGAGACCGGCCTGGCCAACATGGTGAAACCCTGTCTCTACTAAAAATACAAAAATTAGCCAGGTGTGGTCGTGTATGTCTGTAATCCCAGCTACTCTGGTGGCTGTGGCACGAGAATCACTTGAACTGGGGAAGTGGAGGTTGCAGTGAGCTGAGATCACACCACTGCACTCCAACCTGGGCGAGACTCCATCTCAAAACAAAATCAGCTGGGCACACTGGTGGATCACGCCTATAATCCCAGCACTTTGGCAGGCCAAAGGAGGTGGATCACCAGGTCAGGAGTTCAGGACCACCCTGGCCAACACATTGAGACCCAGTCTCTACTAAATACACGAAAATTAGCTGGACGTGGTGGTGGGAGCTTGTAATCCCAGCTACTCGGGAGGCTGAGGCAGGAGAATCGCTCGAACCCAGGAGGCGGAGGTTGCAGTGAGCCAAGATCACACCATTGCACTCCAGCCTGGGTAACAAGAACAAACAAAAAATCAAACTGTCTCAAACAAACAAACAAAAAACAAAACTTCAGAGCTTTTTTTTATACTTAATTTAACCTTATTTTTTTGGGAGAGCCATTATTGGTCTCATTTTGTTTGTTTTTTTCAAACAGATACTTAACAAGCACTGACTGTGTCCCAGGCGTCGTTCAGGACGTGGAGAATGGGTCACTGGGTGCCAGACAGACTAACTCCCTCCCTCCTGAGGCTTATAGCTTGTTGGAAAACGGATAATAAGCAGAGGCATCACCACAAATACCTGTCAGGGAATGAGTTATGAAGACCAGAGCAGGAGAAGGCTCCAGGCTGCCGTGGGTCTGTTACGGGGGCTCTGGGAGGCCTCTCTGAGAAGGAGATAGTCAAGCAGTAGGTCTGAGTGAAGAGGGAGTGCCTGTGCCACTGTCTGGGGCCAGAGTGTCCTGGCAGAGGGGACAGAAATGTGAAACCCCCTCGACTACACGAGGCTTGCAGAATAGCAGGGGTGCTGGGAGTGATGGGGAGTGAGATTGAAGGGTGGCAGGGCCTGTTGGAAGGGGTCTGAAGCCATGGTTGTGAGTCCTTGGGGAGCGCTGCCGTGGAGGCCAGGAGTGCCGAGGCCTGGATCAGCCTTCCTCAGGGCCCAGAGCTGTGAGGCAGCAGAAGTCAACTCCAGTCCACGTCCTCCTCTGGTGCTGCGGACACTTGCTTTCTGGTGAGGGTCTGTGGAGTGGCAGCCGCCTCCACGGCACCCAGGGCTGCCAGCAGTCAGTCCAGTCCCTGTGTCCGCAGGGCCGTGTGTCTGCAGGGCCGTGTGTCCGCAGGGCTGTGTGTCCGCAGGGCCGTGTGTCCCCGCAGGGCTGCCTCCCACTCTCCAGGCTGTCACTCTGCTGCAAGTCTCCCTTCATCTGATGTTTCCTGGAATGGCAAGGATGTCAGGCCCAGAGGTCAGGCCCTGGGATGAAGAGTCGGACGTGAAACACATTTCCCGACAGAGTCCCAGCCCTGATAGTCTTAGCCCTGTGTGTACACAGCCTGACATCCTGCCTGGTGGTGCAGGTCTGACTGGAGCTCCAGACTGCTCAGGCTCAGAGCGAGGGAGACCAAACAACTTCAAGGGCTTCTTTTTGAGTCAGGGCTTCTCTCTCTGTTGCCCAGGCTGGAGTGCAGTAAGGGTCATTTTAGCTCACTGCAGCCTTGACCTCTAAAGGGCTTTTAGATTTCCCCCTCCCTAGTTGGAAACTTTCCAGTTGTCCTCAGGGCACAGACCAATGAATTGTATGCTGAAATCTAGAAAAATTGTGGTTCCCAGCTGCCTTGGCCTGTGGGGCACGCTGGAGTGTGGGCATCTCGCAGCAGCACCAAGTGGCATCTCTGGACCTGGCAGGTGCTTTGCTCACGCTCTCTCCTTAGGGCTCCCCAGAGGGCATCAGGCTGGCCTGTGGTGGTGGTTTTCTTTTTGTTGGAGAAGGACTGCAGTGCAAATAAGCCTGGAGGGGAGGTTGGTGGGCAATCTCAGGTAGGTTGAAAATGTGAGCCACCTCTTTAATCCTCAGCATTCACCTGCTGAAGCACTTAACTCTATATCTATCTATGCTTCACACAGAGAAAGAGGCTGTCTGCAAACGCATACACGGTCTATCTTGGGGCTCGGGAATGAGCAGTAGATGGGGGCAGTTGCGCATGCGATGAAGTTGTGCACTAGAGGTGGCCTGTGTGCTCCTGGGCGCTGGCCCCATCACCAAGCCAGTGCTCAGGTGGATCTGGGAAATAAGTCTAAGCCCCACCAGACTCTGGTCTAGGGGCTGTGGGGTACCGCTGACTCATGGTGGCATGATGTAGAGCAGCCTGACCCTCTTTACCCATGTGACGTCACATGTCACTGTCCACTCGGTGGTCTCAGAGCCAGCTGGACAAGTCACACTGAACAGACCCTGTGTTTTAAGGGGCTGACCTTGTCATTGGAAAAGTTGGAATGAGCGACGGCAGGTGGGAGGAAGCTCCTGTCTCTGGTCTGAGGCTGGCGGACGCCTGCCCTGCGCCTTTGTCTCTCCCATCTCCGTGCTCTGGGGCAGGGGGGTGGGAGGGGCTGTGTGTGTGTGTGAGGGGCCGCGGGTGCTGTGCTGTTCGGACCCCCCTGGGCAGTGTGAGCCGTCTGGATGAGCGCTGCCAGGGGAAGGGGCAGCCTGCCCACACCTGTGCTCCTGTGACTCGCCTGCACAGCCAGTGGCCCAGCGGGGCGCTACCGTTTATGGTGCGTTGTGCACAGGCCAGCCAGCGGCTTTGATGTGGCCCTTGGAGGGGTGGAGACGAGCCCATTACAGGAACAGGCACAGGGCCTCGTCACCTCTTACCCAAGATATTCCTGGAAATGCTCTTGCTCTGAGTGAAGATTAGGAAACTCGTCTATTTTAGGAGCCTGGTGTGTGTTACATACTGTGTTGACTCACCCATGACGATCGTGTGGGTCCCTTGAAAGGGGCGTGTCAGTGGGGGAGAACTCGACACCTCATGGGGAGGGGGAACTTGGGGTTGCTGGGAGTACTGCAGGGCACCCCCGAGGAGCCGATGGCCACCTGCCTACCCTTACTCACACCTGCTCCTACCACTTACCCTTAAACCTGCTTATGCCACTTAACGCTTACACCTCCTCACACTTGCTCACACCTGCTCACACTTCTAGTCACTCATACCCATTATACTTCCTCATACCTGCTCCTCTGCTCACACCTGCTCAATACCTGCTCACCTTTGCCTCACACCCACTCACCCTCACTCATTACCTTCTCACCCCCGCTCACACCGACATCAGGCTGGAGTGTCTGGGAGAAGCATTCTCGGTGCCAGTGAAGGGCAGCATGGAGGGAAGTCTTGAGCTCAGGCCGAGCCTGTGGGAGGAAGCGGGTCTCAAGCAGCACATGTCCTTGGGAGGTTAGGTCTTGGGAACAGCCTTTTTAGAAGTAGTTCTGATGGGGGCTGGGCTGTGGGAGTCGGCTCTGGACCTTGGGAATGTGTGGAGTGGGGCGCAGAACGGTGCCTGTCGTCATCTCAGGCAACACATCAGTATCCTGAGGACACCTGTGACCTTGTCACAGAAATGTCCCCGTAGCGTGTGTCCCCTACCACACAGTGACACCCAGTGCCCTGCTTTTTCTCCAGCTGTAATACTGACTGGTTCATTTCCCAGCAAAAAAGGGGAACTTGTTCTCTGGGTGTGACAGAAACGTACAGGGCCCTAAAATTCAGTTTTCTCCTCCACTGCCTTGTGCAGCCCGGGAGTCCCTGGGCCCCCTGGGCAGTAACAGCAGAGGCCTCAGTCCTGGACCCCCTTTGCCCTCACAGGGTTTTGGTGTGTCAGCAGCTTGAAATAGGGAGGCTGGATCTGGGAGACATGTGTGCCCCTCAGTCAGAAGGGCATAGACGGCCTACCCAGGACCCGTGGTGAGGCAGCCACCCTTCAAGGCAGACCTGTTCTTTGCCACCCCATGTGACAGCCCCACATCTGCTGGCTTGTGTCTTGCGGGCTGCCCTTTGCCATCTGCCATGTTGCGCGCTGAGAAGTAGGTGGGAGCCGACTCTCGGCACTCAACGGGAAGGGACGGCCAATGCGGGCTCCGAGCTTAGCAGGCTGTGCTGGCAGGCCTGGGTGTGCGGAGGCAGTTCAGAGGGGGATCGAGGCCCCGAGCTTTCTGGGGAAAGGCGGAGTGGGAGCGGGGCAGAACGTGTGCGAGCAGGCCTGCAGGGGGCGTCACCGCGTTCCCTCTGGGAAAGCCGCCGCCTCGTCCTGCTCGGGACACAGCGTGAGTGGTGGAAGCACAGACCAGCAGTGGAGTGGAGGCTGCGTCACAGCCTGGGCTCCCTGCTTCCTGCAGTGCCAGGTGGGGGTGAAAGAGCGAGTCCTGCCCGGTGTAGGCTGCCCACCGCTCCGCAGCAGCCCCTCGTGTCCAGGCACCCGGGGTCGGCGCTTCTCCTAGATTGCAGCAGTGTGTGGAGAGGGCCTCGGCAGGCGGTGTGCTCATTTCCTGTCTGCACGTTTCCTTTTCCCCCGCAGGCCTCTGGCTGTACCTGGCAGGGAGCAGCCTGCCCTGTCTCACGCTGATTGGCTCTCCTAATTTTGGGTACAGGTCAGTTCACCGGGACCTGGAGGCCCAGATTGCGATCGTGACAGAGAACCAGGCTCTGCAGCAGCAGCTTCACCAGGTTGGTGGGGGCAAGTGGGATTTCCTGGGGTGCTGAGGGTGTGGCTGGGGGCCCAGGCTCGCCCTGAGAGTTGTCTTCTGAGACATCGAGTGAGACACACAACAGAGCGAGAAAGACTTGGGGTCCCCGAGAGGGCAGTGATGGTGGCTGAGCCTGGGAAGATCATGCCTGTGGCTTCCCAGGTGCTTCGCCTCCCACACCCTAGGGACTTTCTCTTTGTCTGTGCTAGAGGAGACCATCATTTTCTCCCTTGGACCTTCCCCTTTTAAGAAAAAGGGTCAACTGCTAAAGGTTCAGCAGTAGGGCTGGGCATGGTGGCTCATGCCTGTAATCCCAGCACTTTGGGAGGTCGAGACAGGTGGGATCATCTGAGGTCAGGAGTTCAAGACCAGTTTGGTCAACATGGTGAAAAGTCATCTCTACTAAAAATACAAAAAATTAGCTGGGCATGGTGCCTGTAATCCCAGCTACTCGAGAGGCTGAGGCAGGAGAATTGCTTGAACCTGGGAAGCGGAGGTTGCAGGGAGTCGAGATGGTACCCCTGCACTCCAGCCTGGGCAACAAGAGCAAAACTCCATCTCAAAAAAAAAAAAAAAAAAAACTGTGGTTCGGCCCTCTTTTGATAATAGTAGTCTCTTTTCTTTTTGAGGGAGATAAAAGGTTACTAGGAGTTCGTGAGTGCTTCTGGATGGAGCTCCATTTGATGACCTGCAACGGCGTGGATAGACTTAGAAAGGGAAAGGGAGCACGTTGTCCTTTTGACTGAGACCTTGATGGTGCCTTGGGTTCATGCATTTATGACCTTTACAATAATGCTTTTCGATGAGAGCCCTGAGGCATCGGGCTGTGACTTTGTGAAGCTTTTGTGCTCTAGAGGAGGGTTGGGGAATAACTGTTGCAACATGGTAGGAGCCTTTGTTGATGGACGAGGAAATGGTCACTGCTGTGTCCCTGGGATCTGCCCTCCTGCAGTCTGGGAATCTTGTCAGTGACCGATTGGGGCCTTGGTGCCAGGAAAAGCTTCACCACCACGACAGGCGCAAGAGGAAGTGACAGCGGTCACACTCTCGGTGGGCCAGTGGGGTAATGGGTTTGTTCAGGTTTCTTCCTGCAGTGAGGCTTACAGCAAATGACTGAGGAAGCCCCACAAGCTGAGAGATTCCAGTAATAGGGTGACAAGCTGGCCTTAGAGCCAGGCTGGTGGGAAAGACCTGAGCCTGCAGCTTTCAACAACAGGCCTTCCTGGACTTCTGCCTCAATGGCAGAGAGCTCTTCACAGAGACTTCGCTGGAGCTCTGTGCCAGGGCAGTAGAGTCCTTGGTGACTTCGGCCTGGGGCCAGGCTGGGTTCTGCATGGATCTGAGTTGACTGGGGAGCCTGTGCCTGGGGTCCTGGTACTGGTTGTCCTCCCCCACTGTCCCAGTAAGGGAGCTGAACCCACATCCTGGATCTTGAAAAAAGCTGGGGCCGGTTGTGGTTAGGAGCTGCTTTCTCAAATGACATATTTGGGATATTTTCTTTTTCTTCCCAAACCTGAATCCCAGGGGTTTTTGCTTGAGGGAGGGTGGCAGCCCTGCTGCTATAGCTCTTCCGTTCTTTAGGGACAGACTGTGAAACAGAAGTATGTTTCCAGATAGTTCCACGTATATGCATGTATACTGGGACTGCAGCTGCCCTCCAGTGCCATCCCGTGCCCAGTCCCTAGATGCCAAATCCTGCTGGGACTGCCCAACCTCTAGCCTCCCCGCAGCCCAGAAAGTCCCTAAAGCCCCAGCCACCAGGGGCTCCCTGCTCTCTGAAGCTGTGTCTGGAGCTCTTGGGAATTCAGGGAAGGGCCCTCCTATTCATGTCACATTAGGCCCTGGGAATCGGGAGGTATTTTTATCAGAATCTGAAGTCCCTCCCTCCACTTCGTGCATACAATAAACACTGAAAGCTTCCTGGTTTTGTTCAGGGAACACAGTTTACCACTTGTGACCCAAGAAAGACTCCCTCGAACAGCGTCGTAACCTCGTCAGCTGACTTCCTTCTCCATCCCTGTTGTGGAGTCTGTGAGGAAACCTAAGTGTTTCTGGTAATTTAATTGCAGTCTTGGCTGGGTATTCATTTGAAGACATAAAGCTGGAGCCGGGTCTGTGGAGACTTGTGCAAACCAGCCCCCCGAGACCGGAGCTGGCTCTTCCATCAGGCATGTCCAGCCAGGGATTGGGACCTCAGCAGCAGTTAGGAGGGCCCCAAGTCTGCGACATGTGGGCCTGCGGGGGCTGCTCAGTTGAGAGTGTGGCCTGGACCCACGGTGGGGCCCACTGAGCACGAGACGGGGCAGGGAGAAATGAAGCCGGGGCCGTGGCTTTCCCAGCCTTGATGGGAAAAGCCGAGGCCACATTCTGCAGGGTTCTGGAGTGTAGGGTATCCTCCTCCTGTTCCCCCTGGGGCAGAGGAATTGCCAGGGCCATGCTGTCCCTCTCAGCCTCCAGAGCAGGGAGTGTCCCGCTCTGAGTGGCACAGGCCACCCCTGCTGCTGTCCTGCGGTTGGTCCGTGGTCATCACCCATGGTTCTCCTGATAGTGTGGATGTAGGTATGGCTCGGACATTACAGAGGAGAGCGCTGGAGACGGACGGTGGTGGAGGCAGGGCTAGAGTTGTGGGTGCGACCGCGTGAGCATTGCCAGGTGCCCCGCTGAGGAGAGAGCACTTGGAGGGTAGACTCTTCTGAGAGAAGCTTCTCTTCAAAGATCCCAAACACCATTTCTGACAAAGCATATATATATTTTTTGAAGACAGTCTTGCTCTGTCGCCCAGGCTAGAGTGCAGTGGCATGATCTCAGCTCACTGCAACCTCCGCCTCTGGGGTTCAAGTGATTCTCCTGCCTCAGCCTCCCAAGTAGCTGGAATTACAGGCGCCCACCACCACACCTGGCTAATGTTCGTATTTTTAGTAGAGGTGGGGTTTCACCATGTTGGCCAGGCTGGTCTCGAACTCCTGACCTCAAGTGATCCTCCTGCCTTGGCCTCCCAAAGTACCAGGATTATAGGCATGAGCCACCGTGCTCCACCGCATATAGAAATATTTTTAAACCTGTTTTTAAGTGTGAAATTAGCAAATGTTCACTGTAAAAATTAAGGAAAGTGGAAAGAAACTAACCCTTTCCTTGAGGGAAAACCACTGAAGCCGGCGTGAGGCTGCCCTGCCTGCCTCCCGTGGACAGCGTGTGGAGAGGCAGAGCTTTAAGCAGCAGATGAGGATCCTGTGTGAACGTGTGTTTCAGGTCCAGCTTCCTCTGTCTGCTGATGCTGGGCACTTTCCCATACGATTAGGTAAACGTTCTTCTCATGGGGAGCACTGGTTTGTCACGTGAGTGAGTAAGCTGGCTGCTGGACACTTCGGTGGTTTCCAGTTTTTCCCTGTTATAAATATTGCTGTAATAAATAGAAAAGTCTTAGTGCACAGTGACTTTCTCGGGGTAGACTCTGGCAAAGGGAGCTTTGTAAGGCTCTTGGTACCTGTTGCCAGACCTCATGCTAGAAGATGACTTGGTCGCCTTCCCTCGGCACGGACGGGAGTGCCCGTATACTGCAAACTCATCAGCGGGGGGATGGCGTCACAGACAGCTTTGTGCCAATCTGATAGAAGGAAAACTGTGTCTCACTGATCTCAAGTGATCCTCCTGCCTCTGTCTCCATAAGTGTTGGGATAATAGGCTTAAGCCACTGTTTTGAATCCCTAAAAGCCTTTAGGAACACAGCCTCTTAGCTTTTCTAAGGAATGTTTCACAGGGGCAACTTGTAGAACCTGGCATTGCCTGCCACTAGCACACTCTGAATCTCTGGGCCAGGTAGGTATATGAAGTCAGGGTTCTCCAGGCTGGCCTGAGGGGCTGGGCTGGGGCCGGCCAGCCGTGTTGTGTGGTACTGGAGGGGACTCATTATTCCTGTATGTTCCTCTTCCTCAGGAGCAAGAGCAGCTCTACCTGAGGTCCGGTGTGGTGTCATCTGGCACCTTTGAGCAGCCGAGTCGGCAGGTGAAGTTGTGGGTGAAGATGGTAACTCCACTGATCAAGAACTTCTTCTGAGGACAGACAGGTGTGATCTCTAGCGTCTCAGCACGTTCTTCCCGGGTGTTCACGGGTCGGGCAGGTCGTGGTTCTGACTCAACCAGAGCTCCCAGAGGGCTCTTTCATCCCTCTCTGTTAAACACAGAGCAGCATCTTCAGGGGTGGGGCAGCTGTCCTCAAAGTGTTTGAAACCTGATGCTAAATTAGGCAGTCTGCTCAGCTTCCATCAGATACACACTGGACCAAGCCCCAGGTTGCCTGTGCTGGGGTCAGCAGTGGCATCCTGTAGTCCCCTCTGCTCTCCCTTCCCGGGGGGTCCTGAAGAGGCCCTGGGGCAAGGGCTCAGGGATGAGGGGGCAGAAAGGCAGATTGAGCCCCTCCAGGCTGAGCATTACTGGTGCAGGAGACGTAGATGTGAGATGGGGGAGCGCTGTTGCTCGTGAGAGCGGCTCTGGCTTGCTGCCCTGGCCAGCTGCAGCCCACGGGGGGAGTGTCGGTGGAGCCAGACCCCGGGCTGCTGCCTTGACGCCTTGCTGACGTCTCTGTGACGTGGTTACAGAGATGCGCCCTTCTAGTCTCTGGAGGTTGAGTAACAGGACCCGCTCTGCCCATCCAGGAGGGGCCTGCTGCTTCACCAGGGGCACCAGTGGGGTCCCACAGTCAACCTGAGGAACCCCGGACTGTCTTGACGCCTGGAGGTCCGGGCAGGGGTTGGCTGCCATTAAAGGTGGGGTTCTCTGCCCAGTGGCCCTGTGGGTTCTGGATCCCTCAGGGCCTGGACTGCACTCCAGCTGGGATCAGGCTTCTGAGGCCCTTGCTCTCTGGGTCTGGATGTTGTGGGTGGCTCTGGTGCTTTGGATGGTGGTTTGTGGGGAAGGGAGAGGAGTCAGATGAGCCAGGGCCCATGTGGCCGGTGCACGCGCTAGTGCTGGGGCCACGTGTGTGCAACGTGGGCTCCTGAGCGCCGGCCACCTAGGTTCTCCGCTAAATCTCATTCTTAAAAAATGTGTAGTTCATCTTGCAGCCTTTCCTAGTTATTTTAATTACTTTTAAAGAATGCGTACAAATGGAGAGAGTAAAACAATACTAACAGATGAAGAAACTGTGGCCATTTCTTGCCCTCCCTTCCCCTAAGCAGCTGCCGTTGGCTGGTTTATTCCGATGTGCACACGTGTCCATGTTTCTAAATAATGTGCATATCATGCTGTCTTCCCCCAGACTACAGACTGAACCGAAACAGCACTGGTATCCCTCCTGAAACACAGCATGAATGCCATAGTATCGTCAAGTACCTAGATGGTGTTCACAGTTCCAGTTGCCTTAACATTTTTAATTTTTTTAATTATTTGACTTGAAGTCCAATTAAGGATTACACCTTGTGATTGTTTTCCCTAACAACAGATTTTTTCAAGAATGAACTTTATTTATTATTATTTCAGACAGAGTTTCACTCTTGTTGCCCAGGCTGGAGTGTGATGGCATGATCCTGGGTCACCACAACCTCTGCCTCCCAGGTTCAAGTGATTCTCCTGCCTCAGCCTCCCAAGTAGCTGGGATTACAGGCATGTGCCACCATGCCTGGCTAATTTTGTATTTTTTTTAAAGACGGGGTTTCACCATGTTGGTCAGGCTGGTCTTGAACTCCTGACCTCAGGCAATCCGCCTGCCTTGGCCTCCAAAGTGCTTGGATTACAGGCGTGAGCCACCGTGCCCGGCCTAATTTTGTATTTTTTTTTTGAGTAGAGAAAGGGTTTCTTTCTCCATGTTGGCCAGGCTGGTCTCGAACTCCCAACATCAGGTGATCCGCCCACCTCAGCCTCCCAAAGTACTGGGATTACAGGCGTGAGCCACCGTGCCCGGCCATGAACTTTATTTGTATTGGATCTACTTAAAACATTTTTGTGTCACCTGGTAGCGTGGGATTTTGAGTACACGTCAAGTGTGTGCATGAAGCCAGCTCCTCGCATCCCCAGTGTCGCCAGCAGTCGCTTTCGCAACCTCACTGCCTAATCTATCTTGAGGTGCGTGACCCTTGCACAGAGAGAAGCTTCCCGGGCTCCAGGGCGTGGCAGCCTGTCCTTTCAGGGAGTGAGATTGGATTCAGTCCCTGCCCTTTGCCTCTGGAAGCGGCTTCTGGCCTTTGCCTCCTGGGCTGGCAGCGGTCACTGTCACCCTTCATGGGGTCGGAAAGGCTGCTTGGGCTCAGTGCCGGGAGCACCTGGTCTTAGACCAGGCAGACTGCAGTTTGAGTGGCTGCGGGTAAGTGGAGCGCAGCCTGGCCGCACTGCCCTGGGGCAGCCCAACGGCAGCGAACGCTGTTTGCCTTCAAACTAGTTATTAGGGTGTCCTGTGGGACAATTAGACAGAGGAGCCAAAGGAATGCGCAGGGGTACTGGGTTTCCGTTTGCAGAGAGGCTTTCGGTAAACAGGGTTCGCATTCCTACAGATTCTGTGGGACCAGAGTAAACATCATTGTGCCGCAGCCGGGCTTAAGCAATCTGCAGTGCTGTTCCCGCGGTGCGCCGCTGCTCCCTCTGCCTCTGCTAATGACCTTTGAGGCTGTCCCAGGCAGGTTCTCCTGAGGAGCTCCCCAGACCAAGGCTCCCTCACTCTGCAAAGCAGCCGGAGCAGCAGAGAGAGCCGCAGGCGGTGACTGCCACTGTCCTCAGACATTCCAGGTGCGCGGGGTTGTCACGCTTCAGTCCCGGTGTTCCCCATCCCTGGAGTGCAGCTTCAGCACAAATCACCTCTTGGAAAGTTTAGAGTTAATTTTATCTACCCACAATCTGTGCATGTGGACTAGATTACTTTTATTTCAGCATCTAAAGGCAAAATGGAAAAAGCTCACATTTTGTAGTTATTACCAGGGACTGAAGTGAGTTGCCCTGCGGCCCCTGGCAGCCTTATCTCCTCTGGTCACATGAAGGGCGGCAGTGACCCCTCCTGGCCAGCAGAGGTATTGGCCCAGCCAGGCCGGGGAGGCTGAAGTTGCCTCCGTCTCTGCAGCCCCAAAGGGGCTGGATTCCTTGGATGCCAGGAAGGGAGGATTTGAGGGATGTTTTTCTTCTCCCTCCGATAGCCCTGTTGGGCCCTAGGATGGTTGTGAACCATTACCCTCAGAATTTGGACTTTATAGATGCCTCTTAACTCATGATTTAGGTGAGCAAACTTGGAAAAATGTTTTTGCAAAATTCGAAAGTCAAGCTGAATTTAGAACGGTATTTGTAGTTGGTTGGTTTGCCTCCCCCCCCCCCCCCCCTTTTGAGACAGGGTCTTGCTGTCACCCAGGCTGGGGTACAGTGGTATGATCACGGCTCACTACATGCTTGACCTCGTGGGCTCAATCACCCCTCCAGCCTCAGCCTCTCGAGTGGCTGACCACAGGAGTGTACCACCTAGCCCGGCTAAGTTTTTGTATTTTTGATAGAGACAGGCTTTTGTCATGTTGCCCAGGCTGGTCTTAAACTCCTGAGCTCAGGTGATCCACCTACCTCAGCCACCCAAAGTGCTGGGATTACAGGCATGAGTCGCAGTACCTGGCTAATTTTTTATTTTTGTAGAGATGGAGTCTCACTATGTTGCCCACGCTGGTCTCAAGTAATGCTGCGATGCTGCGAGTAGAGGCTTGAGCCACCGCAGCCAGCCTGCTTTCCTTTGAAGCCTAAGAAAGAACTGTTGAAGACACGGCATGGGGGCTCATGCCTGTAACCCCAGCACTTTGGGAGGCCTATGTGAGTGGATCACCTGAGGTCAGGAGTTTGAGACCAGCCTGGCCAACATGGTGAAACCCCATCTCCACTAAAAAGACAGCAATTAGCTGGGTGTGGTGGTGGGCACCTGTAATCCCAGCTACTTGGGAGGTTGAGAAAGGAGGATTGCTTGAACCCAAGAGGCGGAGGTTGCAGTGAGCCAAGACGGGGCCGTTGAAGTCTGTCTCAAAAAAATGTTGAGGATTATGTCTTGGTCCCCCTGGGATCTGTCTTTTCCGGCGTTCGCAGCTGCCGCCTCTTGGCCCTCGGGTGTCTAGTTAATCCTCTCCCTGTGCCTGTGCTGCGGCCCTGGCCACCTTGCTGCAGTGTCCTGCTTCGGCACAGCCACGGAGAGTCCTACAGGTCTCCAGCTTGCTGCTCTCAGTATCTGCTGAAATCATTCCAATTTCAGAACAGTGGGGGCTTTCTGCCAGGACCACCACAGCCGTGGAGTGGGGAGGGCGCCGCTGTTTCCTGAGCCCTCTCTCTGCACAGCTTGAGGGTGGTGGTTCTGTAGATACTTGCACCACGGAGAGAGAAGCTACAGAACTTGTCCAAAGAACAAGGACCTTGCCTGCCTTATGTCAGGGTCGCAGTTTGCCGTAGAGAGGCCTGGCTGGTCCAAGCCTGCAGTCCACGTGGGTGACTGCCGTCTGCAGGTGAGGCAGGAATAACTGAGGGTGGGGCTGAGGGCAGTGGACAGAAGGAAAAAGAGCTGCCACAGAGGACTGGGAGACACCTGTGAGCACCCAGGACACGGCACTTGTCTGGGAGAGGGGGGGGTCCCTGAGCACCCCGTGGTTTCAGAAAGAGCAGGTGCTGGGCAGGGAAGTGCTTCTGCTGTGTGGAAATAGCACCTGTGGGAACAGCTTGTTCTTCTAGGTTCTTTGGGTAGGGGCTTGGGAATGTTCCATAGCTCTAAGAGGTACTTAGTGTTGTTCTTGAGAACAGGGAATAATGCCGACGAGACTGTTGGGGGAATGCCTTGTCCCCTCGTTGGCAGCTGGTTTGCACATAGCATCAGGCTAGAGGGTATGACTGCCTAGCCCCAACCCCACTGACAAGTCAGGATTTGGGGTTTGCTTGCCTCTGGCTGCTGGGAATTGGGGCCTTTCCCAGCTCTGCGGTGGCTGTCGGGCACAGAATGGAGTCAGATGGGTATGGCTGAGTGGCTCCACTTGCTTTAATCTGCCCCGCCTTTTCCACCCTCTGTTTAGTTCAGATGTGCTTGGTTACAGAGCACCCTCATTATTTAAGAGAACAAAAAACCACCACCAGTTCCTGTAAAGAATAGTTGTAGGCAGGACCCAGGAGCGAGCTAAACCTGGAGGAGCAGCGCCACGGCTGCCAGGATCCACTTCGCGGCCTTCTCTTTGGTCTTCAGGTTAAAGGTCCAGACATAGGTGGGGCCGCGGACGCGTGTTTTGTACACGGGACACTCATAGATGTTCTTGGTCTCCATGCGGTCCACAGGAATGGCCTTGATGAAGATGACAGGCATGGCTGGCGTCAGCTCCTTCAGGCGCGCTTCGGCGATGACTCCGGTCTGGGTGTCCCAGCGAGCCCCTGCGGGGACAGCATGGCTGAGGGTTGGGAGGTGGCTGGCTCCTGTCTGGAACACTGCCAGTAAGTGAGGGAGGGGCTGGTCCTTGAGTTCCTCGCCTTTTGCAGAGATGGGCTCCACCCCGAAAGGCATCAGGCCATGTGCCATGGTTGTAAGCAGAGGCCCTCGGAGGTGACGCTGTGCATGTCCTAACTACCCCGTGTCTCGCTGTGCACGAACAGCTCAGCCAAAGCCCTTGGGTTCCACCTGTTTTAAGAGAGCCTCTTACCAGTGGCGGGGAGTGGTAACTCCAGCTCAAAATTAAAGAAGTTCCCTGCCTCTTCATGTGTCCTGGCTGCCCTGTGTGTACACAGTGTCATTATATATCTATGCATATAAACATGATTTGCCTTTAACCGGACTATTATTTCAACTCGCCCTATTTAATGATGTTTCTCTTTCCCGTCTGAAATTTCAAAATAAACATGGAGAGCGGCTGCTGCTGTGCTTATCTTTGGTTGTATGGGAAATGGTGTGCCTGAGCTGTTGCTGGCCCGGCCCTGATACCCCACAGGTAAGGGGGTGATGTTAGCTGTTGAGGGAGCCAGACGGGGCGAGCTGGGGCCAGGCTTCTAATGGGTGCCCCTGCTGCTTTTTCCTGGAACCCTGTGCTCCAGGAGCCACAGCAGCTTGGGGAGTGGGTAGGATTTGGACTGGAGCACCTGGCACAGGGCCAGCCCGCATGCCCTGGAGCCTCAGCGCCCTCAGCGCAGCCACAAAACGCACTTCTGGCCTGTGCCCACTGCTCCATGGCCAGGAGAGGCTGAGTTGTTCAGCTTTTCTCATCAGGTCAGAGCTGCTGTCACACAAGCTCTGCTGTTTTCAGTAAAGCAGAGGCCAGGGGACTGGGGTGGGGCGTTTCTGGTCTCCTGCAGACCCCCCTGTACATTCTCCGAATCCTCTCACCCCTCTATAGGCTCAGCATGGCTCTGGCCTGCAGGCTGATGCCCCTGAGAGCGCCTCTCCCACCCGTCCCCACGGCTCTTGAACAGCCCGTCTTTGCCAAGAGCTAGTTTTATTTCCTCTTGTCGGGTAGCTTTGGCTCTGGTAGCTTCTGCAGACAGACCAGAGCCCTCCTTACCTTCCATGAAGAGTCCATACACGTAGGAGCCCTCTCGGGGGGGAGCGGTCATGTCTTCCCGGTTTTTCTTGGTCACTTCCACAGACAGACACATCTTGTCCAGGGGCCACTCATTCTTCCTGGCCATGGACTGCATGATGGCCGTGAGGAAGGACTGGGGGTTGAAGAAGCCAGCCAGCCACACAGTGGTGGGCAGGGCAAAGTCTGTTGTCCAAGCCTCGAGTTCCTGCAAGGACACACAAACCGCTGAGAGGAGAGGGCAGGGAATGACAGGGCCTCAGCCATTCTGAGCAGGGGTCATGCCAGAACCTTCCACAGGCCACTCAGCAAGCTGGGAGTGGTGGATGGAGGGGGGCTGTGGAGGTTGGCCACCTGCCCTGATGCAGTTGTTGCTTTTTTTTTTTTTTTTTGAGATGGGGTCTCACTGTGTCACCCAGGCTGCAGTGCAGTGCAGTGGTACCACCTCAGCCTCCCGGGTTCAAGTGATTCTCAGCCCCCTGAGTAGCAGGGATTACAGGTATGCACCACCACACCTGGCTTATTTTTTTGTATTTTTAGCATAGATGGGGTTTTGCCATGTTGGCCAGGCTCGTCTTGAACTCCTGGCCTCAAGTGATTCACCTGCCTTGGCCTCCTAACGTGCTGGGATTACAAGCATGAACCACCATGCCCAGCCACTGTCTGCTCCGTTTTAAACAAGGGAATGTGAAGAGAAGGATCAGGAAGGGAATGGCTTCCCATTTGTGGATAACTTAGGAGCCCAAAGAGGCTCTTGCCTTCACTGTCTTGCTCCTTATAGAGGGCAGCTTACCCTTCGAGTGTCCCACGAGGAGCTGCTGATGGAAGCAGCTCTCACTGCGGCCCAGGCCTCAGGGTGTGGGAGGAGCCTGGGCTAGGCCCTTCCAGCCCTGTTCTGACAGAGGCTGGGACCCTAGGAGCCACCCGGCCGTCAGGGCCATGCTGAGCCCCAGGCACTCGGCCCCTGAGTCTCAAGTCAGGAAGCCTCTCGGAGAAAGCGGCACTTACCCTGATTCGGAGCAGCAGATCTGTGTACCAGGCCGCCAGGCCCATCATGGAGGGGTAGGCCCGCGCCACCCACGTCTCAGGCACGGTGTCATAGAAGAGAGCCGTGGACAGGTCTTCCATGTCGGTCGTGATGGTCAGTTCCCCCTAGGAGACACGGACGGTGTGGGGAGCCCTGGGCTGGGCCTTGTTTTGCCCACTCGGGGGGGCCCGAAGAGCACCGGCGTCAGTGCGCGTCACCAGTTGTCAACAGCGTGGCTTGGTGCTGCGCCTTGGGAGACGCCCTGCCTCAGGGCCTCTCGAGTGCTTCCTGCTAGGAACAATCTAGATGAGCTCCGGGGCTTGTTCTGGAATGGCCAGAGCTCTGGAGAGGGCGCAGTGACGTGCTGACCCCGTGGCCCATGCTCGGCCCAGGCTGCCAGAGGCCTGCGTGGCTGCCGGTTTTGCCGTCAAGCCGCGTCCCTGAGGCCTGGCCGACCCATTTTACCTTCAGCCCTAGGTTCAGCTCCTTCAGCGAGCGGCGCATTTCGTTGGTCAGGATGTTCATTCTTTCACATTCTTGAAAGGCGACTACCACATAGGGGGTCTTTTCAGCTGCCTTCGCCATGATCTCAGCCATGTTGAAAGTCTCTGGAATCTTCTCCAGGATGTCCTCCAGCACGGCCTTCACCTGGAAGCCAGTTCACAGACAGCCCCCGTCACTGCCAGGAGCCTGCCCCACCGGCTGCAGGGTCAGGAAGCCCGCCCAGAATGTTCCCAGCCCTGAGTCCTGGAGAGGAGGGAAGAGGCAGGTGGAGCCGCCAGAAGCACAGGGTCACGGGTGCAGTCACACATTTGACAAGGGAAGGGAGCCGTGGCGTTCTGATGTCACTGGCGAGGCCCTGCAGCTGTGACTGTGGGCGCCTCCGCCGCCTAGCCTGGGGCCTGCAGGCGTTCATTCCCATGCACCGGCCTCCCATCAGGCTTCGCCAGCGGTTGAGGGATTGCAACTTTGTCCTTCGTGTGGGCTTTCTGTAGGGACCACGCCGGTCACACCCTCTCAAGGAGAGGCCCACAGAGCACACAGAGGTCACCCGCACCATCCTCAGTTTCTAACTTCAGTCATTAGACTAAGAGAAGGTCCTGGACCTAATAGCAGTAAGGGTCTCAGGTCAAGAATTCAGCCTGTTGACCGGGAAGCCCGGTACTTAGCAGCTAATAAGTAATAGAGCTTTTCCACAATCTATTAAGAAGTGCAGGCCAGGGAGCTCACACCTGTAATCCTAGCACTTTGGGAGGTCAGGAGTTCAGGACCAGCCTGTCCAACATGGTGAAGCCCCGTCTCTACCAAAAACAAAATTAGCTGGGTCTGGTGGCAGGTGCCTGTATTCCCATGGGAGGCTGAGGCAGGAGAATCGCTTGAACCCAGGAGGCACGGAGGTTGCAGTGAGCCGAGATCGTATCATTGCACTCCAGCCTGGGCGACAAAGCTAGACTCCATCTCAAAAAAATAAATCGCAGAGGTGCCCAGGAGGTGGCACAGAGGTACCCAGAGAGATTAGAATTCGTTCAGAGCACTGGCGTCCCTGAGCCGTTCTAATCCTTCGAGCGGCAACAGGACCTGCGGTCACAGCCACCGAGCAGCTCTGGAGTACCTGCCCTCGCGTCTGTCCAGCTGTCCTGGTGGGGAATGGCCGGCGCCCTCCCCAGCGCCCAGCCGGGGAAGCTGGAAGACTGCAGGGTGCAGGGCTGGGGCCGCACCCACAGCCCCCAAGGATATCTGTCTGTGCTCGTGCCCCCCGGCCCAAAGTCTGCAGCTGCCGCACCTGGGGACCTGCTGAGCAGCCTACGGGCCCCACCCCAGGGTTTCTGATGCCCAAGCCCCAGGCTGGGGCAGTGTGCTTCACCAGCAAGCTCCCCGGCACTGCCACCAGTCCCTGCGACCCTTCCCTGGTTCAAGATCCTCCCCTTCCTCTGGCTTGGGAACGACTTTTCAAGCTCTTGCCTTCTCCTCGCGGGACACCCCTGTGCCAGCCCCCGAGTCGGTCTCTTTGGGCTGCATTTCCAGGACTGTACGGAACAGCTTCTCCGAGGTGACCGTCAGAAAGCCAATCTCTGCATTGGGGTGCAGGCCATACAGATAGGGACTCTCAGGGGGCAGGTTCTCATCGATGTATTCGTGGTAACCCTGCAAAGAGGGCGGCTTGTGAGCGGAGGCAAAGCCGTGCAGGCTGAAACCCATGTCCTGTTGGTTAAGTGTTCCTTGTCAGAACGTTCCACCCACGTCTTGCCCCCTGTACAGATCCCACTTGTTTCCCACCCCCGTTTGTGGGCTGCTCACTATGCTCCCCGCGACATAAAGGAAAATGCATTCCCCCCTTCCCTGAGGCTGCATTTTTCTTTTTTTTAATAAAAAGAAAATACGTGGCTTGTATCAGCCTTGCACTTCTTCCAGCGAGGCACGTTTCTCATGCCTGCCCTTTGGTTGCATGGGTTCTTGCTCAATTATGGATATTCCAGGTGCGCGAGGCTCTCGCTGGAAGGCACATGCCTTCGTGGCATTGAGCTCCTGTTTAGCTTGTCATCCTTACCTTATAGTCCAGGTTAGGGGGGATTTGAAAGCCGGGGGCCAGCAGGACGTCCCCCTCCAGCATCTCCGTCCGGATGTACTCGGCCAGGTAGGTCCTGCAGAGCCGGCGGTCCCAGTCGTCTGTGATGTGGCCGCCATACATGATCTCACCAAAAAGGTAGCGGAGATCGTCCCAGGGCACCTGAGGAAGGGTGACTGCAGTTAGGGAAAGGTGCTGCCCCCCCCGCCCGTGCCCCTCTGTCGTGAGAGTCAGGCTCAGGCAGGGCATGGGAACCCAGCCTTCAGTGCTGTGGCCTCCTCGCTCTCCAGGTTGGCCACCTGTCTGTTCACCTTCAGGGCCACCAAGTCACCTTTCTTCCCCCTCCGGTGCCAGCAGACACCGGTGTCTGCTCGGTGGCCAGCCCCTTTGGCTCCTCTCACAAGGGGCCACGTAGCGCCTCCCTCCACCTCAGACGACGCTTCTACGGCTGGCGCCCTCTGCACCCTCCTGTGGTAGAGGTGGCAGGCGCTTCTGCGCCTCACTGCGCCTCTGAGGCCACAGGCCGGAATTGGAACTCGCCCCTGCCTCTCCTGCTGTGTTACCATCTGAGACTCTGCCCTTCACAGTCCACTTTCAACACAAGACATTTGATTCTTGTGTTAAGGGTTGACTCCATCGCTGTCGCGCTTCTGGCCACCAAGTCCCGTCAGTCACATCTTCAGATGCATCCGCGAGCCTCCCTCCCGCCTGGTGGAAGTAGAGCCCTTCCTGGTTCTCA